AAAGTGTATGTGACCTGATGTATGGAAAGTGAATTTGCTCTGTAAATTTTCACCCAAATCACAATTAAAAACAACGACAACAAAAACAACAAAAATCCTGCAAGCAGCTATCCAAGGCACAGTAATTGATCTCTATTTGCCTGGAGCCAAAGCTGAAGGAGCATCAGTAATCAGAAAGGAAATGGAATGTGTGGTGTGGTAGTTAAATTTGTATGTCAACTTGAGTGGCTGGGCAGCTGGTGGTAGTTACTCCCTGTGATGAGACTGCCAATCAACTCCATTTGGAATGTGGTCTGCTTCCTGTATATAAGGAGGCTTGGGGACAGTTGCTAGCCTATGGCATGCCTGGATCCTGCATGTAGCCGAGTCGCTGTTCAGCACCCTGCCATGCTCTGCCGACCTTGGGACTTACAATGGACTTGAATTAATGGCCTGTAGTGTGGGGTTTGGTAACATCGGGACTGTGCCATTTTATTTGTCAACCTTGGGCTTGTTAGCCTCAGCAGCCAGTGGCTGCCTGAATGAAGAGATGCCTCTAGCTTCAGTGGGCCAGGAGCAAGAGGCAGAGCTGAAGCCCAAGGTCAAGGGGCTTTCATACAGCCTGGCACTTTGAACTTGGACTTAAAGCCTCCAAACTATAAGAGAATAAACTCCTGTTTGTTCAGCCAAAAAAAAAAAAAATCCACTTTTAAATTGTCATACAGTAATACTGAATTTCACTTTCCATATAGCAGTTCACATACACTTTGTGTCATGACATTGACTATAATTTACCACAATGCAACAGTTCCTCCTGATAGTTACCTCTTCCCTCTGTCCATCCCTCCATGCACTCCGGCCCCCCTGAGCTGTCTCCCTGTGCACAAACAGCCTTTCTCTCTCCCATAATTGATCTCCAATCAGCACAGAGTATATTTAGGCCTCAACGTTTTCTTAAGATTTTTTCCCTTGTTTCCCAGCAATTGTAGAAAAATACCAGATAAGGAAGGAGTCAAGAAACCTAAGATGTAGCTATCTGTCTACCTCTAATTAATGACTTGACCTCACTTTCTTCATTGAAAAAACTGTAATATAACATCTTTTCAAGCCATAAAGCTTTAAGTTCTAATTTCTATGTTCTTCAGGGATACCGTGATCATTTCTTGCAGCTTAAAAGGGTGTCTCTCCTTGTTACAAAAGATTCTTTAAAAAAAGAGGG